AGGTATTATAAGGCTAGTAAATGACGAATTTCCCTTGTTTATTGATGTCACACTCCTCCCTATTATACACTCCTGCTATAATGCATCATCGATACACAGATACACAGATCGATGGAATACACAGCCCTGTGAAATCATCCCACTGACCACTTTGATATAATCCACATGCTTGACCCGACTTGCCAAGCTAACCACCATGATCTAAACTGTTCATTGCTTAATATACCGAGAAAACAACAACAACAACACACGTCTCCCTTGCAATACCCCACAACACAACACCTTGAAATACCAAAATGCGCAATAAATACAATGAAAGAAAGTAGATATCATAACATCACTGAAAAAAACAAAAATCCCCAGGAGTACGTATAGCTCCATCCACAACGAATATCACTAATGACCATATGCCTTCAAGGTATGTGTGATCAATCACATACATCGAAACCCAGGTCACTCGTAATACCCCTCTCCTCAAGATCTTTAAACAACCCCATGGGTGTATGCAGGGGGGGGGGTCGTGAGGGTCGTACGACCCCCCAAAATTTTAAAAGGTCCACATTTTTTCCAAAGACTTTTTTTCGAGGGCATTTTTACAATGACATAAATGAAAAAGATCAGGTACCAGCAATGAGTCCAAAGACATTGCCAATTGCGTGACGTAAATTCCAAGCAATTCTGAAACTGAGCCTTTTTTTAAACAAAATTTTGTTTCATAAAAGAGAGACAAAGACAAGACAAGATAAAGACAAAAAGTTCAAAAAACTCTGTTTTCAACTGAGTCAGAAAACTTTTTTTTTAAACTGATAAATTTTTTTTTGAAACAAAATTTTTTGGTTTTAATTAAATTGTCAGGGGCGTGTACAGGACGGACCCCCCTGCTCGCGCAGAAAACGCATCTAAGGAGGTCTAATTTCAAAAATTTTCGGGGGGAGGGCAGTTTGGGTTACGGTTAGACCCCCCCCTGGTACAAATCCTGTACACGCCCCTGATTGTATTGACATTGTAATCACATCTTGCTGCTATTTCATTGTGAAAAGGTCCAAAAAATTATGATCACGACCCACCCAGAAAAAATCCTGGATACACCCCTGATTACCCTGCCATTATATATGCCATGTTCCTAACTAAATATACTCTGCCGTATTCAGCGTCACACTTTTCTCAAAATAACATCATCTGTGCTTGCCATTACCACGTCGCCAGCCTTCTATAGTATCGAACTATACACCTGTGCATAACTATATATCATACGGTTATCTCTTGTGCCTTCCTTATGGCGTGACTGAACGAATCCTTATATCGTTCAGGTACGCCCTAGTATCTTAGGGTGCTTACACATCTAGCGTATCTATATTCCGTGCTCCCTGACACGTTATGTGGAGGATTCCCAGCGTATATATGCTGTGACAAAAATCCCCCGTAGTCCTTCTCTCGGACCATGTACGCGATTTGTCTTTACAGAGACATAACTTTAGCTGCGTATGCTAACCTCGTTTCCATGCATTAAACGTGACGCATGATACGTTCGCGTAGGGCCCTCTTCGCCCTTTATCACACGCGTGCCACGGCTATCTATCCTAGCCCGTGTAACGCTCTCTAGACTCTATGCACCCTATAACGCTCTATTGTGGCACAAACCGTCCGCACAGGCAATATCGTCAGTATACTTAGCAGTCAGGCGACAGTAAACAGCGTTAGCACAGCGAAATTTATACTAGGAAAACTGCAACACTTACCACGGCATTATATATCTTCCTCTTCTTTCTTCCAGCTTCTTTTCTCGGCTTCCGTTGCTCTGTCTGCTCTGGCGTCTCGGCATTGCCTTATTTCCTTCCGTCTCTCCTTCTCTCTCTTCTTCTGTCTCTCTTGCTCTCTCGTCCGCTCTCCTTTTATCTCTCTCCAATCTTCTTCTTCTTTCTCCAGTTTTCTTCCGTGGCTCCGTGGATCGTGAATCGTTTGTAGCATCTTGCGTTATGTCCGCAAACTCGGTTCTAACTGTCGACGGCACCAAAAGACCGGCCATTTTAGATGTTGTTATTTAGAATAGTAAATGTTTGCAAAATGCGCATAATTTCATTTAAACCTCTAATTGTACAAGAATATTAGTAAAATACCCTGGTTGAGCATTGTAATGATAGGAGGTTGAAACATTCATATATTCAGAAGGATAGAGAAAATGAGAAAATTTATGTTTACTAATCGTTATCCTTGAGAATCTTCTCAATCATTCGTGCTTTAGCTAATAATGTAATTTTTTTCACTTGTGATATTAATAATTCTATTTATAATATTTCTATACAAACATTTTCATCTATTACGTTTACAATCAAAACTATTTCATATTAGCAAGTGGCTCATGATCAACTGTTTCTCACATGCTTGTACGGCAAGTTGGATTTTATTTTTGGTATTTTGAATTTTAGGTTCTGAACCTGGCTTACAATAACCTCTGCGATGCTGATATATTGGCCCTGGGAAAACTAAAGTGTATCCGGATTCTCAACTTATCTTCAAACCAGCTTTCTACTCTGCCAGAAAATTTAGCTGTTAGAGACTGGCACGGGTATGGTTGGCTCGTTTTATGCATGTAACGTAGCAGTATATGCAATTCTAACTAAATTATAGTTTAATTATGTGTGCCATGTATTACATACCTACTGATGCAGGGGATCAGCATACTTTAGAAGCTTAGAGGAACTTACTCTGGAATCCAATTATCTGAGTGGCGAATCAACATTTTTCTGTCTAGCAGGACTACCAAGGTAATAAAAGAAACTCTACATGTCAATGCAGATTCATTAATGCAGTAAAGTGCACCTACTGTTAGATTTCATATCTGGTTCACGCTTGTCTTTTTAATCTGTCCAAGGTCTGTGCAATATTTCATTAAAAAGTTCCCATTGCTTAATTGTTGTGGTGGCAATTTCAGGCCCAACCACAACTGAGAAATTGTGGTTCCTGCTAGAACTATCCCATGGGATGCAAGATCTGTCGCACCCCTATTTATGTGTAGTTTCTTTATCACTCAGTTTACCATATATATCAAGCTATCAATATAACAGATTAATCTTAATTTTACACTGATATGTTAAAGGCTGAAACACCTAAACCTCAGAGGAAATGGGTTGTGTGCTGTGCCACATCTATCGATCAAAGACAGCTGCTTTAAAGCAGATGAAGTGAAAGGCCTTACTGTTTTGCACAAAAAGGTAAACAAGGGGACACAGAAGGCAACAAGGCATACGACCATTACAGCACTATCCAATCAAGGTAAGCATAGTGCAGAAAAAGGTGTGCTTTGATAACCATGTTTATATAAATAGAGCACTTTAAATTTTAAGCACCCCTTGGCATATAAATTGGCCACATTTGGTTGCTTTTTTTGATTTTCACAGATGAGTTCTGTATTTTGGCACATGAAGTTAGTGCCAGCCAATTGATAATTGGAATATGCTGGCAAATTATTGGGAAGTCTGGTGACTAGCAAAACTTGGTTTCAAATGTTCACACCGTGGGGAAGGCAGCACAATGAGCACATATTATAGCTACACAGAAGCACCTGCCAGTGAAATCATGCAGTTTCTTTGTTTTAAGAAAATTGATAACTAAGAAAGCAAAACGACCTGCTATTTGCCAAATAAAACATCTTAAGGTAAACAAAATAAATATAGTGATGCTTCAGAACATGGCACAAGTTGAGATAGATAATCCTAATTATTTGATTATTTTACTTCACATAATTTACTTGCATATTAGTTATTACATACTTGCATGCTTTATTCACATACTATACATCATTTATCTACATGCAACTCAACTGTGTTTTCTGCTAGTATTTGTTACCTATGCAGGTTTGCACGATTCTAATGATGCACAAGCCTTTGTGAGTAGAAGCGCACAATACATAGGAGCAATGAACTACCTGGGACTATCTCTCCAGGTTGTCAAACATGCAGTGACTCCTGCTTGCATAAAACCCCACAGCCATGAGAGTAAGGAAACGATAACGACCAACCTGCAACTGAAACAAAAAAATAGTATGTATTTGTATTTTAGTCTATTACGTTGGTAACATCCCGGTTGGTCTACTCCCATTTTTGCAACTCCCCTTTTCATCTACTCCCATTTCATCTAATCTCAGAATGGTTAATAGTGCCATTTCGTCTACTTTCATCTACCTAGTTAGTTTTTGGTCTACTCTTTCTCTAAGAGTGTATTTGGGTCTACTTTGTATTTAGCTACTTTGTCTAATAATATTAGAATACATATTATATATATTATCTTTCTGACTGTGTATCGCGATGTGTATCATATTGTGACCCTAGTGTATCATTACACCTCTCGTAAATTCTAGGTGAAAGTTCTGGTATAGCCCAGGAGAAGCAACCAACAGAAAACCTAGGTCTGCTCAAGAATGAAAACGAAGAACACTATATTAACATCAGCAAACCAGCATTTCCGTGCCTGCAATATTTAGATCTCTCTTGCAATAAGGTAATGAAATGTGCATATATGCACATAGAGAATATAAAAATACATTATTTCAAAAGTCACGTTGTAGCTGCAGGTAATCGGTACGTTACTTGTGAGCTGCCAGCTCTCTTGATTTGGCAAATGGATGTGGACATGCAGCTGTTTACATAATTTAATTTACACGTTATAAGGATAATAAATTAGACTGTGAAACATCTTAGTTGCACCTGGTGATCAGATACAGAACAGAACTGTGAGAAATCACTTTGAGAGTTCTAGCTTCTAAAACCTACTAAGACCTAAGAGCTTAACTCAGCTACTATACTGTTAAGAGATTTTTCGTATTGGATGATGATCTTGATGAAGCAGAGTGAAAAGAAAATTTTTTGCATTACTATTTCTATTTGTTTGCTTCTTACTCAAAAATAAATCAAGTATGTACAGTGTTCAAAACTAAATTTTTTGAGTACGTGCAACATCTTGGGCAAGTGCCTTTTAAATGTTACACGCCCAACTGCAAATATTTAGTAATATATGCATTTATCTTTTTTACAGGTGAGAGATGAAAAGTGTCTCTTAGCTATTGCATCCTACCCAATGCTCACGGAGCTTGTTTTGTATGGCAACCCTCTTGCTACCAACACCAAAGGCTGCCCACCTCTACTGGAACATTGTCTTGCTAATAGGCTTGGAATCACTATTGTTAGGTAAGTAATTTTACATTGACATTAATGTACCCATATTGACAAATCAGCAGGGTTATGCTTAACCAGCATGCAGAAACTTTGATGCTACCTGGTAATCCTAGGGAATTTGACACAGTCAAGATTGTAAAATGACATTTGCTTCAGGACATCTGTAACACTTATTTTGCTGGCAAAGATATAGTTATTGTGCAATAGGCTAAGGTTTGGTTTGCCATGCTGCATATATTTTTCACAGTGTGCACTCATAGTGCAGCGGCCGAGACCCCAAAAATTAAGTGCACCCCTATAACAAGCTGGGACTGGTCTCATTTTAACCGTCTGGATTCCTAGTTTATGAAAAGCCATGTTGTAGTTGCAGCAACCTTGGCCAACATGCCGAATTAACCCTTTTTTTACGGTGAAATCTGAAAAAAATTTCAGTTACTTGCTTATTTTATGAAATTAGCCCCATTATATTTTATAATTGATGGTTATATCAATGT